CGCACGCCATCAGAGTTCAAACACCACCACGGCACATTCCAGGAGTGGTTGAAGTAACTCTCTCCTACAAATCCAAACAGTTCTGCAAAGGTGCTCCCGGCCGATTTGTCTACACCGGTAAGTGTACGGTTTCCTTACTCCTTCTAGGATAACAGCTCCCATCTCTTAATGACACACAGGCAATGCAAAGCGTGACCATTACAATGCTGTTGAAAAATAGGATGTGTCTTGCAGGAAATGTAACTGGTGGTAGCTGGACCTCAAAATACCTGTTCGCATGGGCGCCCAGAAGCTCTGGTGCCTATCCAAGCCTCTTGGGTCTTAAAAATGTCTCGGTGTCTCATGAGATCAAGCTCTCTCACAAGATGCCTGTTACTTCCTGTTTTCATTTTGGCCAGAAATAGATTAACAACGGTATTTCCTACTCTGCTCCGGCCAGAACAAGGAGTTAAGAAGTATTCAGTAATGAAAAATATTTTTCAGGCTATCTATCCAAACTTCTTGAACTTCCCTAAAGGTTCAGTTGAAGTTTTAGGCACCGGTTCAAGTAGCTGTTGTTGGATCCAAATCACTTTATCCAACCTTATTCACAATCTGGCTCTAAAAATTCTTTCAGACCTGAAGCTTGGGATGCAAACTCGCAAGCCTGGGAATGATTTATTTGTGCCAATTCTTTTAAATACATTTGATTTTAATTTACAAGAGCACAAGAAAAAGTCGGAACTTTGTGGTTTCCAGTGGTTTCAATATGAAAATTCCTACTTTGGGATGAAGTATTGCTGGCTTTTTATCTAAAATGTGTATTACAGTTTTTCTGGCATTTAACGAAGAATTTAACTGAGGTGCTGGGAGGGAAAAGGGAGAAATAGCAATTTAATTTACCATACTTTTGGATGAGGATTCTAGGTAATAAATTTGATCTGATGAATCAATCTCTTTTTTGAAAACAAAGAGCCTTTAACTGTTTACTCGACAGACTGCAGGGATTCAGGGAGAGTTCTTGCTGCTTATTGGGGAGATAATGCAGATTGCAGATGATGTGCAGATGATGTGCATTTTGATGACTATTTTCCCACTAGACTGCAACTGTTTCTACCTATTAATTTAGTTCTAATGGGAAAAGTGTGTTCCTGGGTAGTTTTAAGCTAGGACTTTTGAAACAGTTAATGCATGGTGGGTATGCTTTTCTGTCTGCCGAAGATCTATCGCTGAAATGAACTTTCAAGCGAAGGTAGCATCTGAGATTCCTATCTTCCATTTATCCCCAAAGAAATCACAACCTGAGCAAAAACCAGTGCTCGCATTCACACCTGGGTGCCTCACTTCTGGCTGGCAAGGGAGAGAATGTTTACATTTTCTTGATCTTTCTAATTGGGTTTGCTACCAGACTTGCCGAACGGGATGGTGGTGCCCGTGGTGCTTTTGGTGCTAAAAACATATCTGGAAGGCGGACGTTGTTTCATAGTCTGCTGCAAAGGTGGTAACCGCAGGTGGGGCTGCACGCAGTCACGGTTATAGCCTTAAAAATGCTGTTATGAGCACAGTCTGTGCAAAGCTTCGGCAGAGTATCCTGACAAGTATGGCTATTTAGCTAAGATAAGTGCTCAGCAAAATAAAAAATGAATGAATTAAAGGCCTTAGACTAAGTTCCAGATATTTTAGCTGCTGCGAGCTGGTGCGGTTCCATTGCACACAGGGAAGCGCCGCAGATCTGAACCAGATGACGGTCTGGCGCTCAGTGCACAGTCCTGGAATTTTGAATCGCTTTATAGTAATGTCTTAAACTGATTTCTCAGGTGCAGACTTTGCAAATTTGGCAATTTTTTCTGTTTTGAACTCCTTTCTAATATGTAAATGCAAATATGTATGAAACTGTAAGGAAAAGCCATTCGTTTCTTCTTTCCTGGGGTCGTCTTTTGTCTTTATCGCTAAGTAAAGACGTTCAAAAGAATCGTGAGAACGTCAGGAGCTTCTCCCGCTGGAATTAAATTGTAATAAAGTTACATGACTAACAACACTTTAACGGGAATATATATTTAAAACACCTTTTGAGGGAGACAAAAGCCTATATCCCAGCAATACGAAAATAAAAAGATAAAGCCAGCGCCTGCCTGACCGAGAAACTTCTGCCTGCTTTGCTTTATCCTGAAGTGATAGGGTGAGCGAGATAGTCTTTGGAAATTACAGCTGCCATTGAGAGCGAAGCCAAGCCTCACTGTATTTCAGAAAATGAAAATGATGCAGCCCTAGAGGAGGGAGGGGCTGAATCCCCAGGGCATCTGTTTCCCATCAGTGTCCCACCATGCTTGCAGTCTGGCTTGGCACTCTAACATTTAACCTTCCCAGCATGAGGTAGACCATAGGGCAACAAGGCTGCGGAATAATGAAACAAGAGTGTAGTGTGGTGTACAAAGCCTTTGTGAGCAGAGAAGTTGAGACATTAAACGATCAGGGTAGCGAGATATGAAAGTTCCAGATTTTTCTGAAAAGCCCCCATTAGTCTCACGCAGAAGGAAGAGCGCGCCGTCTCTCAGCAGGCAAAGGCGAGGCCTTTCCCCATCTATCCATGCCTTTTTGCCCGCTGCTTTCAACTATTATAAAGATACAATTACCTTGGGAGATTGTGGCAGTTCAGTTGATTAGCACGGTGAATTAAAAGAATGAGTCACAAATGACATGTCCAGCTCTTCTCTACTAGTCCTTTGTATTCCCAGTGTACCTCACCCCTGTTGTAAGAAGGTCAAAAATTAGAGAGAGATAACAATTTTCAAGCAGCTAGCACTTAGGAGCAGAATTAACAATCATTCTGTATGTAATTGCCAGTTAATAGTAAATTGCCTTCTAGACTGTAAAATGCAATATAAACTGGTGGGCACCTAAAATTAAATTAATGAGGTATTTGCTGCATTTAAAAGTGAATAGTGCAAATTAATAACTGGGTACAATACTTGTTTTACTATATATCGAACAGTGCATCGTTTGCTTGTTTAGCAATGATTTTAAAAGTGCTACCTGAAAAATTCTCTCTCTCTCTGAGTAAATCGAGTGGTTTGTGCAGGTTGTAGCCATAATTTTGCTGGTAAAGTCTTCCAGGTTTCTAAATTAAATATCAGAGATTATTTTTTAATTAGAATATAAGCACTGCGGTGTTATTTGATTATGGCAAATTGTGATTTGTATGCTTCTAAATGAAATTATGTTACAGATGAAATTGCACCTTTATACACATATTTTAAGCTCCGTAGATTCTGTTGGTTTACTTTAAGATGAGCGGCAGTACTGTATTTACAATGTATTTGTGCCGCGGCGTTACTGTTTTCTCTAAGTGTGTATTTTGCATAATGATTTCCTAGCGAATCAAGGAAGTGTGGTCCGACCCAGCGTATATTCAAATAGTTTCAAAGAGTGCTATTTGGCACTTGGAACTTTTAACGCCGACTGCTTTCACCCTAATGTTTCTGTTGCACTCTCCTATTTTGATAACTTCTTTTGCTCAGTTAAAGAAATGACCCGAATTGTCAGGAGACAAGAGATCGTTTGCAGTAGACTGTACCCGGTTGCTGTACAAGGTATTGGCATTCGATTGCAAACATGTCCAAAGCAGACGTAGAGAAAGCGTGAATGTTGAATACATGGAACCATTCCCAGGTCTGCAATGCATTTGCTAGATGTGAACATAAAAATGATTATTTTGCACAAAGACTTGCATTCAATTTTGAGCCTACGAAACCATTACTCAACCAGTAATCGCTCACAGTTTGTGTTCCTTCTGATAGAGTATTTATGTTGAAGAAGTACGGCCGGGCTCGGAGGCTGGCACAGCACCAAGGGGGGGAAGCCCTCTTTAGTCACTACATTGTCCAGATTTTTCGGTTTGGCTGGGTTTTGCCTCGGTACGGAGACCTCCGCTTTGGCTGGGTTCCCTCGGTTAACCCCCACTCGGCTTCCCCCTCTGAAAGATCTCGTGTTCCTCAAGTATTTTCGAGATCTTTTGTGTGCATTCAAATGTGATTCTGTCAATGGCGCTGTTACACTGTTTAGAGTCAATAGCTCCCTTCCATCACAGCCAACACAAACTAGCTGTCTCATAGGTCAGTGCTCTTTAAACAAATTACTTGTATCCACAGAGCAAATGATTGTTAATTGCCTCCCACAAATCATACTATTTTTACTATGCTAAACTACATGCTAATGCCTGAGTTAAATTTAAATCACCTGATTATTTCTTGTACATATTCAATTATTGTTCTTAAGTATGAAATCTGGTGACTTTGCAGAACAAATGCTGAAAATTTATATAATGGATACAGGACTTCACTGGAAAGCCTTAAAAAAATACTACCACATTCATTTTAATGAAATCCTCAGTATTTCCAATTCATATATATTGCATTTCCTTTTTTTTTTTTTTTTAAAGTGCTGTTGTCCTGAAGCAACTTACAGTTACTGTTATTACAGTATTGGTTATTTATTGATCAGACCTTGTGTCAGTATCGGTTGTTAGCAAGCTGGAAAAAAATCAAGATAGAACAAATATTCTTGCCCTTTCCTCAAGATGGGTCTTTCTAAGTCAGTCAAAGTTAGCATTGAAGGGTCAGACCCAGCAAGTACCTCTGTTAATACGTTTAACCGCTTTGTTGCGCTAGAGTAAAATGTATTTTTCTTAAAACAGTAATGTCGAGGAGAAGGAGATCCCAGTTAACTGTCTTTTCTTATAAAGAAGGATTTTCAGCATGACATACATTTTTAATTAATAGGGCAATGCTAAACATACAGAAATGATTTAGTAGCATCAAGTCAATAGCATGTTGGATAATGTATATTATATAATAGCTCTTTTTTAAACAGTAGCAATTCCAGGTTTATCAGGGTCATTGTTGTCCCCTTTCTTTTCTGTCTCAAAGGAGGCCAGAAGAATGAGACATACCATTTGTGCTATTGCACAAGTAGACTATTTGTCCTAATCAGTGACACCCATTTACTAGAATTGCTTAAAATGAACTATACCTCATACAGAAATCGCACATTTAGAGTGTTCCATTCATCATCTGAAAATTGAGGGCCAGTAAACTTTTCTGTTCCTCCAGCGGGATCATAGACATGCATCAAAATGTTAA